CTCCTTGGATGCTCACAGCACCCTAAAAGTCCAAATTTTGGTGTAGGAAGCCAAAACCTGAGCAGGACTTGACCAGAACCGAACGAAATTTATCCCCCAGATTCCTGAATCCTGTTGGTTCAGCCTTCCTTCCCTTCATCCCCCGGTCTGGGACACACAGCTGGTGGGCAAATCATCACAAACATCTGAGCATCACTTTTTGAGTCTGTCTCATCTAAATTGAGTCCATCTCCTCTAAGTTGAGTCCATCTTGTCTAAGTTGAGTCCATTTCAGATAAATTGAGTCCATCTCATCTAAACTGAGTCCATCTCGTCTAAGTTGAGTCCATCTCTCCTAAGTTGAGTCCATCTCATCTGAGTCCATCTCATCTAAGTTGAGTCCATCTCACACAAACTCTGCTTGAAGGCTCCAGGGACACCTCCCTGTGGCTTTCCACTGTTAAGAGTGTTGATAAAAAGTGCAGAGAGGGACTTTTTAGATGGGCAGATAACAAGAGGACAGTGGTTTTACACTAAATACAGGAGGGCAGGGCTGGAACAGATGTTTGGAAGAAATTCTTTATTCAGAGGGTGGTGAGCCACTCAGCAGTGGCTGCCCCATCCCTGGAAGTGTCCAAGGCCAGGCTGGAGCAGGCTGGGATAGTGGAAGGTGTCCTGAACACAGCAGGGCTGGAACGAGATGGGATTTAAGGTCCCTTCCACCCCAAACCACAAACTCACAGCCCAGAGTGTGCGCAGAGCTGCCCCCAGTGATCACGGGGGCGCCCTGGACTCGTTCTGCCAGCTCTGCTGTCACCCTGGGAGCTGCTGTCCTGCCCTGCCATTGCCCAACACTCCCCAGCTGGGAGCTGGGCTGGTCTCTGAGCTCCCCAGCAGCAGGAGCACCCCGGCTGCACCTCGGCGTCGCATCTTCTGGGCCGGGGATTTATTCCATGCGAAGGTGGAAGAAATGAGCAAGGGCTGGAAATATGCAGGATGCGCAAGGCTCCGTGGATTAGTGGGCAGAGCACGGAGCAGCAATTGCCAGGCAGGTTCCCTGCTCCTGCTTGGCTCAGAGTTGTTGTGAGAAGCAGGGCCAGTGAATCATGGGCTGGTTGAGCTAATTCTCCCTGACTCCCCATGACTTCATCACTCGCTGCTGTTTGAAAACCTGCTCTGGAGCCTGTCTAAAGGAGTGCCCCGGGGTTGGCTTAACTGTTTCTGTTCTATTGAGTTTGAAGTGGACCCAGTTTCTTTCACTTTTTCGTCCTGGGGAGATTGGTTTTCTGTCACTATAGGACACGAAACAAAACGACGCGAACTTGCTGCTCCTTTCAAGGTAAAAAAGGGACTTTATTTTACTGACTCCAACATTTATAGGTTTCCAAAAGTGACAGTGGAATGACAATGACACTGGACAAACCAACAGTCCATCCAATTTCTCCTCCTCCATAAAAGAATGCCAAACAATAAGTTATTTACATGAAGAGTGAGAAAGTTCATTACAAGAATGTAAATATCAGAAGGCTTAGAAAAAATTTAAAAATCAGGATGACAGGATTTCCAACACCAACCATGTGCAGCAATGTTGCAGAGTGGAAATGTTTTAATAAAACACCCAAACTTTTTGGTACAGTGACAACAAAATGAAATTCTAAACGACCAGCAGCAGCATCATGAGGTATTCATAAAAAAGAGTGAGGATTTAGAAGGGTCACAACCGTGAAAAATAAGAGAATGCAAAAGATGAAAAATAAGAGAAAGCCAAAAGGCTGCACAGCGATTTCAGGGGAAAAAAACTTTCATTTTGCTGAAAAATTTGCCAGCTCCCTAGTGCATGCCTCAGTTTCCCTAATTGCTACGTGGGGTTACCAGCCCAGACCTATTTTGCAAAGGTGTTGTCAGGTTTAATTTGCAAACCTTTGAAAAGCTCTGCCGAGTCCTGGAGATGAAAGGCCCTGCAGATGCCACCCGTGGGTGTGTGCTGTGAGTCACAGGCACAGCCAGGGCCCTGGGTGCTGGGACAGGGGACATTGTCCTGAGCAAAAATCCCAAGGGATGCTCCTGCAAAAAATGAACTCATGCTGGAGGCAGCAGGAGCCACCTCTGGGAGGAGCAGAGATAAGGAGATGGCCAGGCTGAGCTGTGTTTTGGCTCCTAAATTGCCTGGAAAATGCGTGTGTGCACAAATTGGCACCTGGAATGGGAGGTCCCCAACACAGGGAGGATGTGGAAGTGTTGGAGCAGGCCCAGAGTGAAGAATTTCTTCCAAACATCTGTTCCAGCCCTGCCCTCCATTGTTTAGTGTAAAACCACTGTCCTGTTGTTATCTGCCCATCTAAAAAGTCATTTTCTCCTCTTTTTATAAACCCCCTTATCCCTGGACAGCCACAGGGAGGTGTCCCTGGAGCCTTCATGCAGAGTTGATCTGAGATGGTTGATAAAGGGGCTGGAGACAGGCTGAGAGATGGGAATGCTCAGGCTGGAGAAGAGAAGGATGTGTGGAGACCTCAGAGCACCTGGAATATGAGGTCCCCAACACAAGGAGGACATGGAAGTGTTGGAGCAGGTCCAGAAGAGGCCACAAGGTTGATAAAAGGGCTGGAGACAGGCTGAGAGATGGGAATGCTCAGGCTGGAGAAGAGAAGGTTGTGTGGAGACCTCAGGATCTGCAGGGGAAGCTGGAGAGGGACTCTGGATCAGGAACTGGAAGAGGGGAAATGGATTCAAACTGCAAGAGGGGAAATTTGGGTTGGATGTTGGGCAGGAATTGCTCCTGGCAGGGTGGGCAGGCCCTGGCACAGGTGCCCAGAGCAGCCGTGGCTGCCCCTGCATCCCTGGCAGTGCCCAAGGCCAGGCTGGAGCACCTGGGACAGTGGGAGGTGTCCCTGCCATGGCACTGGATGGGCTTCAAGATCCCTTCCAATCCATCCCATGATTCTGGGATTTATCTCCACTTACATCAGTGAAAACCAAGATCTAAAAACTCAATCATTAACCTTTTAAGTGCCTTACCCACCCCAAAATCTTATCAAAGCATCAGGAAAACGAACCAAGGCCACCTTTGTCCAATCCTTGGGATGTTTTTTGCTCCTCAAGGATGAACCTTGGCTGGAGCAGCTCTGCTGAGTCTCCTCAGTACACGTGAGAACAGGAGCCTCCACCCTGCAGTATTTTTAATTACTTGGAGACTTACAGGACTGTTGATGTTCTGAAGAACAGCTCAGCCCAGCAAGCCAGGGGGAAAGAAATGCATTGATGTCAGTCAAATTCTTCCTTTATGAAATCGGGTCTTAAAAAATGGCATTGCCCTTTCCTGGGCTGGGGAATGAATTCTGACTCATGAAAGGCTGCGGGCCTATTAATAAAAATTATTAATTAAAGAAATGTCCTTTCCCAACGACTACTACCCAAAAAAATGCAGAATGCCGAGGCATTTCTCATAAAGAGAGAGTTGTGAAGAAATGTCTTTGAGCGTGTCTATGAGCCAGGGGCCCAGAAAAAGAATTTCACTTTCTTTTTCTCTCATTTTGCACAGACAAGACCATGAAAAATTACATTTGTAAGAACAGGTTCTTTCCTTCTCCTTTCAGATCCAGAATTTATGCTGTTCCTGCTTTGCCTCTGTTTCCTCCATACCTCAAAAAAGGCTGGAAAATGCAGAGCTGGATTTTTTACTCAAATCCCTTCCAACAGGGGCGTCCTGGTGGATGTTTATGGAGATTTTTTAGAGGTAAAAATCACCTCCAGCAGCGCCACCAGGGCGTTCTGAGAAAACTCAATTAAGCACAAATCTCTGGCGTGGTTAATTTGCACCCTGGGCATTCATCTCAGAGAAATCTCACTGAAATTCCGAGTATAATCCGAAAGCATGTGAAAGGAAGATCAGCCTCATCCTTTAGAAGTCGCTGGAATCCACCAGTGCTCATAAAGAGCTTTATTTCCTCCTGAAATCATCTGTGATTCCAACAAGTGAACATTTCCCAGGAATTCAGCTGCTGAAGACAGATAATTTTTAATTTTTTTTTACTTCTTTTCTCTGGCAAGAGAGATTTTGACCATCTAAGCTGCACAATGGTTCCTCTTCCAGGTGTGTTCCAGTTCTGAGGGCATTTATGGGAAGAGCTACATGGGCTACACCTATCTCAGAGCACACAGTGGAGGTTTTATTTCACCACTCACCTTTTGGAGATTGCCTGGCCTGTGGGAAAAGCAGGCCCAGCCAATTTTTACCTGTTCTGATCCGTGGCTGGGTTATTTCCAGGTCTAGATGGACAGACCTTGCACAAACCCAAAATAAAACCAAAATAAAGATAATAGGGCCGTTTAAACCCAGTATTAACCATGAATTTCTCCTCCCTCCTGAACGCAGCAAGCCCCGGGGGGAGCCTGCTTGAAGAATGCTTTATTCTAGGCGTTCATTTTAATTACAACCCTAATTATTTTGGTGCATGGCTATGACCCAGTTAACAAACCCACCTTGGGCATCTCGTGGTCTCCCCGACCCTGCCCATCTCTGCAAGGAGGGAACCAAATTATTTTTGAAACAAGTGGTGGAACTGGTTGCTACATCTTAATGAAAATGACTTTTTTCTTTTTTTTCTTTTCTCTTCTTTCTTTTTTTTTTTTTTTTTTTTTTTTCTGAAGGAGACATTTCTATGTATATAAACAACCCTTCCTCCCCAACCTGGTTAGACAAGAATGTTCCTGGGTGTGGACTGCCTTGTATAATTAACTGCACAGCTGGAGCCCTTCTGATCCCTCCACGTCTGCTCCTTCCTTTCCTCCTTTCTTTCTTTCTTTCCCCCTGCATCCACCTGGGCGCGATCTGGGCGCGCTGCTCCTCCTCGGGAGCTCGGGCTGCGTCACTGGGGCAGGAAGGTTCCCTGAATTCAGCATTCCAGAGCCATTCCTGGCTGGGAGCAGCACCAGGCAGAGCCTGCCTGCCTTGGAGGGGGCTGAGAGACAGGAGCTGGAGCAGAGAGCGAGCAGAGAAACCCCTGAAAACCCCTGTTTAGGCCATGGAAACGGGGAGTGCAGCCAGGACAAACGGCACCGCCAGCAAGCCTGAGGACGTGAAGAGCCCGAGTACCCCCAAAAAAGAAGAGGAAGCCAAGAAGGCCACGAGCCCTGGCGGAGGTGAGAAAGAAGCTATAAAAGGCACGGGCGGTGCTGCGTTGGAGACAGGGCAGATCAAGAGCTCCCTCTTCTCTGGGAGTGACTGGAAGAGGCCCATCATTCAGTTTGTGGAGTCATCCGACGAGAAGAGGTCAACCTACTTCAGCATGGACTCGGCCGACTCCAAGAAGATGCAGTTCAACAGCGGCCAGATCGGAGACATGAGGAGACCAGGCCTCAACTTCCCGGAGAAGGGCGACCTCAGGAAGTCCCTGTTCTCCTTGGATTCCAAAAAGAGCTTCCTGCCCGCTGACGGGGAAGGGAGGAAGTCCCTGTTCTCTGCGGGGGACCTGAAGAAATCCTCCCTGCCCCTGGTGGAGACGGGGGACCTGAGGAGACCCTTCAACAAGGCCGAGCGCGCGGCGGGCTCGCGGCCCCGCGTGAAGCTGGAGGACGTTCTCTGCGACTCCTGCATCGACAACAAGCAGAAGGCTGTCAAGTCCTGCCTGGTGTGCCAGGCCTCCTTCTGCGAGCTGCACCTCAAGCCCCACCTGGAGGGAGCGGCGTTCCGGGACCACCAGCTGCTGGACCCCATCAGGGACTTCGAAGCCAGAAAGTGCCCCGTGCATGGCAAGACCATGGAGCTGTTCTGCCAGACAGACCAGATGTGCATCTGCTACCTCTGCATGTTCCAGGAGCACAAGAACCACAGCACGGTGACAGTGGAGATCGAGAAGGCAGGCAAAGAGGTAATTTTGTCCTTTCATTCCTCCTTTCATTCTTCCTTTCATTCCTTAGGTTCCCAGCAGCCTGCAGATGTCACAGCACAGCCTTTGCTCCCCTGCTCAGGTCATTTTTGGGGTGGAATCCTGGATGCAGTGGTCCTGGTGGGAAGTGTTCAGTGGACACTGATATTTCCTGGCCCTTGGTGGGCAGTGTTCAGTGGACACTGATATTTCCTGGCCCTTGGTAGGCAGTGTTCAGTGGACACTGATATTTCCTGGCTGCTGGTGGGCAGTGTTGAGTGGACACTGATATTTCCTGGCCCTTGGTGGGCAGTGTTCAGTGGACACTGATATTTCCTGGCCCTTGGTGGGCAGTGTTCAGTGGACACTGATATTTCCTGGCTGCTGGTGGGCAGTGTTCAGTGGACACTGATATTTCCTGGCTGCTGTTTCCATGGGATGGGTGCTCTCCTGATCCTGGCTGCAGCAGCACAATGCTAGAATTGGGCTGCAGGCTGCATTTAGGGATGGAGAACCTGGCTGCCAGCACACCTGGCTTCCAGCAGAGGCTGAATCAAAGCCCTAAATGCCAAGTTTTTAAAAATATTCTTGAGTTTTGGCAGTGGTTGTGTGGTGTTGCCCACAGAAAGGTGGGCACTGCTCAGGGTCAGCACCTCCAGAATACAGATTGTCAAATCAGTGCCTGCTAAAGTTTCTCATGGGTGCTAATGACTATTGAAAATTGCTATCTCAGCTCCTGAGAGTGACATTAGGTTTTGTTTGTTTTTTTTTTTTTTTCTTTTCTTTTCTGTTGAGCCACACCTATGGAAAAAAATCTTTTGAAGTTTAGATGGAAAAAAACCAAAACCCTGGTGCAAGCACAAAACCTGATCATTTCCCCTGAAGTGTTACTACAGCAGGTTCAGAGGATGGACATCCAGGGAGATTTCACTAATGAAATGTCTTTCACCTTTGTTTGCTCAAAGCCTCCTGTTGTTTGCTTTCTGGGTGGATGAGGAGGATTTCACTTGTTCTAGCAAAATTCAGGGTCTCACCACATTTGTTGCTGCACATCCCCGTGGTAAAAGGGAGAAACTTTCTAAGCAGACAGGACAGGGGAGATAGCAATAAAGAGAGCTGTAAAATATTAATTATATAAAACAAGGTGCCTGGAGTCACACGGGCAGAACCTGGAAGGGCACTAAGATCTCCTAAACCCCAGACCAGTGCTGGGTGTGGTGACCAGGCAGACACTGTGAGAAATCCTTGAGTTCCCTTAATGGGAAGAACAATTTTACTCTTTCCAATGAGCTGGGAAGATTCACCTCATCAGGCTGAAAGAGCCTCTTGTGCAGAGCTTATCTCTGGCTCCTCTGGTCTTTTCTTGCCATGTCACCTCCAGCTGGCAGCCCTGCTGAAACCAGACAAAGCCTTTTCCCCGTCTCAGACAGCCTTTCCCAAATTCCTGCAGGGCTTGCCAGCCTGCTGTTTGTTCCATAATTGCCTGTGCTCGTGGTTTTGATGTCAGCCCTGACATAAAGCTGGGCCTGGTGTCTGCCAAGGTGTCCAATTCCTGCCTGGAATGAAGGGAGCAGCTGCTTCCTGAGGAAGCAAAGCTGCTCAGATCCTTCCTCCTGTGGCTGGAGACACCTCCAGCACCTTGATTTTAAAGGCACAGCCATGGATGAGCAGGGATTGGGATTTAAATGCTGTTTGATTCCTGTCTCTGAGTCCTTGTACCACCTTTAGCTCTGCTGCTACTCAGCCTAGAGGATTTAGGATTTATCAACATGAATCATGCCCCTGTGTTTCTCCTGACAGAGCCTGATCGTGTTGCAACTCGAGAGAGCATTCACTCAGACAAAAACAATTAGCAGCAAAGCTGTTGCCTGCAAATGTTTGTTCCCACCTCTGATTTATTCACCAGAGGTGGAGCCTCAGCAGGAGACACAAAGAGCAATGAATATTTCCAAGCCCCCGGTGTGTAACACCTCTCCTTATCGAGTCAGCCCGGCTGGAATTTGTGACCACAAACTGGGAGGGTGCCTGGTGCTGCTGCCCTTTTGGGAGGGAGAAGTCACAACCTCACACCAGGTCACCCCTGTCCCTGCCCTGTGCTCCCAGCTTGGCATCCCAGCAGCTCCAGAGGAGCTTTAAAACCCCCAGATCCATCCTGCCACTGGAACAAAGCTGTGTCCTGACAGGGCTTTTCACTTTAAAACCTCCAAGTCTTGTGCCACTGGAATGGTGACCAGAACAAAGCTGTGTCCTGACAGAGCCTTTCACACCCTGCTGCATGTCCAGGATTTGTCTGCAAGGATTTCCTCATCTGTGGCTCCAGAACTGGAGAGGGCTCCAGATCTGGGTTTGTTTTGCTGCGCTGCCAGCCTGGGAGCTCAGTGACTTGGTGGCACAGAAGTGTCACAGAATAAGCTTGGTTCAGGTGCATCTGCCCCCCAGGTCTGCAGAATTAATGCAGATTTCAGCCTGGCTTTGCTGTGGGCCTGCAGGGAGGAGAGGGGCTGTGCTTCAGAGCTGGGAAAGGAATTAGGAAACGCTGCTTGTCTCAGGGAGCAGACAGAGCAGAGGAATGCAAACAAGCCAGAACACAGACACCTATAGTTAGGGCAGTGCACAGGCTGATATCTCTGTCCCAGACAGAGAACACAGCAGCATCTTCCACTTTTCAGGAGCCTGGGGTGAGAGTCACTCACCCCCTGTTCCTGCTGAGCAGACACAAGTGAGAGAAAGGCACAGGGACTCAGACACTTGTCCTGACTTCCCACCCAGTGCTATTTGCCTATTTTACCCAGCAAACCTTTAATGCTCTCCCCAGATCCACTTTGCATTCATTTCCTGCTGCAGGTTTAAAGGAAAAGTAACAGTTTGCACCAGAACCAGTGCAAAAAACCAGCCAGGAAAAAGGTCTGTGAGGCTGGGGAATAACAACTCACACCTGAAAAGTGAGAATGCTCCACAGCAGCGTGCACAGGCCAATAAAACCCTGATTTATCAGCAGAGCCCCCCCTTGGAGCCAGCATCCTTCATTCTGAAAGGGGATCCTTCATCCCAAACCTGTTCTACAGGGCTGCTCTCCAAAGGAGACAACTTCACCTCTGCCTGCCAGTCCCAGAGCTGGAAATACCCTGGCACTGCCTTCCAGCAGCAGCCCTGGTGCTCAGCATGCCAGGTCAGCTCTGCTGAAAAGCACTTTGGTCTGGTTGTTTTTTGCTCTAATTCTTTATCTTTTAAAGCAAAGTTCGCTGTGGGTACAGGAAGGGGAGCTGGGTGTTCCTCCTTCCCACAGAGCTGCCTTGAAAAGGGGAGGTTTTTACAAAGGCTGAGCCAGGCTTTGAAGAAAACCATCCACAGAGATGGATCCAGAGGGGTTCCCATCCCTGCATCACTGTCACTGAGCAGAGAGCAAACAAAATTAACCCTTGGAAGGGCTTGGGGGCCTTCAGTGTGGCTGTGGGGTTTTACCTGCACCAGCTGTGGCTGCTCTGTGGACACAGCTCAAAATAAATTTGTCTGTTTGCCTGAATTCTGCATTAATCCTCTACACTGAGGACAGAATCCAGGCAAAATCCACTGGTTTGCAAGCAAGGAATTCTCTCCAAGGGCTCAGCTTTTCCAGTGGCGTTTTATGGGATGCTGGCAGAGTTTTCAGGGGTTTCATTAACAGAAGCTGGGATGGGAAAATGCCCCCAGCAGGAATCATGTCCCAAGCATCCCCCTGACTTTTTCCTGGCCCTGCACTGGGACAAGGAGCTGGAGCAGCACTTGTGCAGCTTTCCCTTGGTTAATTAGCAGAGCTCTCCCAGGCTGGGGACACAGGGCTGTTCCCAGGGTGTTCAGGGCATGATGCTGCTTGTGCTGCCGCTGCCTCCTTGCACAAAGCGCTTGCATCATCGTGCAGGGCTCTGTAATCTCCCATCTGCAGCTCCTGCACGGCACCAGGGCTGGGTTCAGCTCTTTGGATGTACACTCTGAACTTTCACTGAAGCCTCTTAACTGCCCTAATTAGCTGAGGCCTTAATAGGGGATCCAATCTGAGCGTGAAGGTTCTCAGTGCCTTCGTTTCTCAGCCTGCTGTGCTCAAAAAAATTGTCTAAATCTGGATTTCCTGGCTTTTCCCCACACTGTTCTGGTTATTTCTGCTCTGGGGGACCCCCACCATGGGGGTGTTGCTGTTTTATCTCTCATTAGGATCTTCTGAACCCCAAATCCTCCAATGGATTTGTTCTAGAGGGTCCCTCAAGGATTTCTGACCCTGGAAAATCTGAGAAACGCGAAGACAGATGGGAGTTTTCTCTTGGGGAGTGAAGCTGAGGCGCTGCCTGTCCCTAACCCCTGTGGCCCCAGTCTGTGACTGTTTATCTGTGATATACATGGGCAGCCAAAGCAACCTCCCAGACATAAAAAGGTCTTAAAACCATCAGGAAATCACCTCCTGACCCCTTGGTGTTGTGCTCCACCTCCAGAGAACCCTTCCTGAACCCTTCTGCCCATGCCACCAGTGCTTCCACTATTCCAGACTCTCCCTGCACCTCTCTTTAACATTTCCCCCTGTATTTAGGGTGGTTTTTTCGTAGTATTTATTTAATTTCATGCAGCACCCCACAATCCCACCTCCCTTCACCTCCCCTGCCCCTGCTGCACTCTGTGCTGGTGTTTCCCCTTTGCCAGGTCTGGCTGAGTGTGGGATTTGCATCCTGGCCATTGGGACCATCTCTGTAATTTCCATTTGCAAGTCATAAACCTGCTCCAAATTGTTGTGTGCCTCTGCTCCTGAGTGGCTGCTCCATCCCACACCACCTTTCTGGGGGGTGTTTGAACTGCTGGGAGTCACGAGCACTTTTACAAATAATAGTTCCCAAAATTCCTTGGAGACCCATCTTAATTAAAAAGGACCATAAAAGCATAATATTGTTATCACCACCTTCCAGCCATCACCTGATTTATTTTTTTTTTCCTGTCATTTTCTCTGCAAATCCCTTGAGTTTGGGAGTGTCTACCTGGCTGTGAAAGTTCTGCTCTTCCCCAAAAATTCCTTTCAGTCCTTCTCTGTAGGATTTTACTGCCATTCTTGTAAGGATATCCTGATTTTTGGGGATGAGGAGGGAAATAATTGCTCTGGAGGTGAGATTTTTACAACTTCACAAGCAATCAATGCCACTTGCATGCAGCTTTGTGGCTCAAGGAAATCCCTGGAATTTGGGTGTAATTTCTCACATTGGTTAATGCAGTGGATAAACGGATCTCAAACATTTTCATCTCATTGCATTTCCCTGCTGTGCAGAGTCTCCATGCACAGGACATCTCCCCCTGCACGTGGGAATGGAAACCAGCAGGAATTCCTCTGAATCGCTCTCTTGAAAATGTGAAAATTATGGGATCAAACTCCTGACTTTGTTGTTTCCATGAGTAGCAGGGCAGATTTTCTCATCTGGAAGCCAGTGTGGGCTCCCTGGTGAAGCTGTGCCACAAAATCCTTCCCTGTGTGCCCTGAACCCCTGCAGAGGGTGAGAATCAGCTCATGGCAGCCTTCAGGCCACTGCTGAGGGAGTGTGGGTAATATTTAGTGCTCTCCTAACTCCTAAAAACAACGTGAGGATGCAGCTTTTGTGGCACTGAGACACCTCTGAGCACACTTCCCTTTTCTCTGCCCACTTTTCCTGCGTTTTATAAGGCAACAAAACCACCATCCAGCCATTGTCCCTCCACAAACAGAGATTTTCTGAGTTGGAACGGCCAACAGTTGTTGGCTCTCAGAGCAGCTGTGCTGGATTCCAGCTCCAGAGGCTGTTCAGACACTTGGCTGGCATCAGCACAAGAGCTCCTGTCTGGGCTGGTTCACAGCCTCTTCCCCGCTCTTCATTTCCAGTGCAGAACTGAAAACCCTCAAACTCTGATCAATAAAGAGCCAGATCTTCATGTTCCACTGCATTCTTGGACGGACAGCTGGAGTGTGAGAGTGGATTTATCCATCCATGCCTCTAGTTGTTGGTCTGAATTTCAGTGGTTTGGGTTAATTTAATGATTTTGCAGAAGATCCCACACGACCAGCAGGTTCTCAGGACTCTCCTGACGTGACAGAACACGGAATTTCTGCCAGCTCTGAAATTCCTCAACAGCTCTGGGCTGGGTGTCCCACAGCCAGGTTGCCTCCAGCCATGGCTGAGGCCAACCTGCACACACATGAAATGCAGAAATGCCCCCAAAAAGGCTGGGGCAGGATCTGTGGGGCAGGGATGGAGAATGGGAACAACCCAGGGAGGCATTGCTGGAGTTAACGGGGCAAAACTTTGCCAACATCCAGGCCCAGGGCTGATCCAGGGAAAAAATGACCCAGGGAAACAGTGCCACAAATTCCTGTGCAGGTCTCAGCTCTGAGCTTCTCTGGGAAAAAATGACCCAGGGAAACCGTGCATGGTCGGCACTGCCACAAACTCCTGTGCAGGTCTCAGCTCTGAGCTTCTCTGGGAAGCCACTGCACAACAAAATGCAAATGATCCCAGTGAAGTTGCTGATCTCAGCCCAGCAGGTTGACTACACCTCTTCCCTCCTCCTTTTGTGGCCTTTTTTTTTTTTTTCCCCTTTTCAATTTTTTTTTTCCAAGCATTCCCCAGCTCCATCGCTACATGAAAGCTCTCAATTCAGAGCAAATTAATCCACAATCCTGTCTAAACAGAATTCCTGCCGGAGGCATCATCCTCTTGTTGCAACACTCGTCAAACGTCATTCCGTAATTACATGAAAACTGTTATTGCTGCACAGGCACACCCTGGGCTGGGCCCTGCTCTGCACACACAGCTGAATTTTGAAACAGCTCCCTTCCCCTGCAGCTCATGACTCCCATGTGATTAAAGGCAGCCTGGGAGGTGGGTGCTGCTGCTTTGCTGAGGGAGCTGAATCTGCTGGGACGGTGCCCGCTGGCAGCACGGGATGCCCTCTGCAGCCTGGACCTCCCTGCTGCTCTGCTCTGCTCAGCACAGCAGCGTGGATGTGTCCTGGTTTAGGGAAAATTTGGGAGAAAACCTCCAAAAGGGGGCTCCTCCAGAAAGCAAACCCACACCAACCAGTTTGGGAAAGATTTCTCGGAGAGAAGTGGAAAGAACCTGTTTATTTAACAGGCACAGCACCCCCAGCACACAGAATGAACAATACCAGGTGACACCACTCTGTCACTGCTCTGAAATGATGACAGATTCAGAAAGTCTCTCTGGGGGTGGTCGCTCTGTTCTCAGTCCCTCCTGTGCTGGGGCAGCTGCTGCAGCCACAAGGTGCAAACTCTCGGTGTTTGCCAGGCCCCAGCCTGGAGCAGGTTTGAGTAGGCCCAAAAAAGGGAAAGGAGAAACAGTCCAAGGAAAAATTCAGACTGCTCAGCTAAACTAACTAATGAGCAGGAGCAAAAAGCAAGAGCAAAGCAGGAGCAAGAGCAAAGCAAAAAGCAAAGCAAAAAGCAAAAGCAACACCATGCACTGCCCTGTCTGTGTGTCCCACCAGCCGTGGGGGAGCGGCTGAGAGCAAAACCAAAACAAAACATTCGCTCTGCAGAGCCAGTGTGGAAGGCACAGAACATGATATCCAGCATGAACAGAACACAGGAATGGGGATACAGCATCACAACTCACCCTAGGACAGGATGCTGTGGGACAGAGAAATGGCAAGGGTTTCACACAGTGGCTTGTGAGAACTTTCAGGGAGTTGTAAGGATGTGTAACTGGTTAAGTACAAACAATCTGCAGGTGGTGTTGTTATACTTGGTCTCCACACAAGGATGGTGTGAGAGGAAGGTGTTTTTGTTAAGTAGCCAATCAAATAGAATATATGATATCACTCCATAAAAACCACGCAGTTCTCTTGAATAAAACCTTTGCTCTTTCTGCAGTCCTGCCTCTCACCTGTCCCTGTGTCATTCTCGGTGCAAGAGTGACACAGCAGGGCTGGTGGAAGGGGCCAGCTCAGCCCCAGCTCACCAGGCTCCCTCTCCTCTCCTCTCCCCACAGACAGAGCTGTCTCTGCAGAAGGAGCAGCTGCAGCTGAAGATCATCGAGGTGGAGGATGAGGTGGACAAGTGGCAGAAGGAGAGGGACCGCATCAAGGTGCGTTTGGGGGGTCCAGTTCCCCTCTCCCTCCTGTAAACCCCAGTTCCTGCTCCCCTCCTCTCCCACATCCCTCCATCCCTTCCCCACTCCATCCCTTCCCCAGCCCTTATCTCATCCCCAGCCCAAACTCCGAGCCAAATCTTGGAAACAACAACTCCCACTGAAGTCATCTTGCGACATTCCCTGCGGGGAGATGCAGCCCTGATGCAAAACCAAGGCACCTCCCTGCTCTGGCTCCTTTTTTAGGTCCTTTATGGCCCTTCCATCACCAGTAGCCAGGCAGATTTAGAAACAAAATCCACAAATAACCTGCAGGAGGGCTCTGGGTGGCCCAAACTGAGATAAGACAGCAGGAGCAGATGAATTTACCCACACAAATATCGTATTTATGGTGGAACAGCTTATTTCCATGCTGAGAGAGGGCTCCTTTGTAATTCTTGCACTGTGGTAAGGGTTGGAATAGAGTCATGGTATTATTTTTTTCATTTATAGCCTAACTGAATAAAGCAGTGAAAGCACAAGTTGGAGACACCCCAGAAAATTTGCATAATATTAACAGGCAAAGCCATTCTTCTCCCTTTTATGTGGTGCAAGCACATTGGCTCACCAGCTCTGCTTTTCATCTGCTTTATTATTACTATTATTATTATTATTATTATTGGAAACCTGACCCAGAAATTCTGACTCTCAATATAGTTACATCCCCAGTCCTTCTCAGGAATATTTCAGAGGCACCTCGAGGTCAGGCTTGTAAAAAGAGTTTCAGCACCTTTCATCCTTTGAAATAGTGGGAATTTGGTTCTCAAATAATCCAGGAGCCAGAGCCCTGATTTAGAAGGTGACAGAGTGTTTTTAAATGTCACCTGTGAGTGCATGAATTGAAATGGGAGATGTGCTCTTACCGCTGGGAAGGCAGTGGCCCTTTTGGATTGCATCCATGTGAATATTGCAGGAACAGGTATTGCTTCTCTTGGCACAACTTTCCTGCAGCTGAGACTTGCCTAGCTGGAGTTTCCATACTCTAAATGCTGAATCCTTGGATTTATCCCCCTCTGTGTTTCTCTGTTAGCAAAGAACTCAGTGAAATTTTAATATTTGCTTGCTCCTCTTTCCCGCTGCCTCCTCTCTCTGCCCCTTCCCCACCCAGAATTACACCACCAACGAGAAAGCCACGGTGGACCAGCACTTCAAGGAGCTGATCCGTGACCTGGAGAGGCAGAGGGATGAGGTGAAGGCTGCCCTGGATCAGAGGGAGAAGATTGCCTCGGAGAACGTGAAGGAAATCGTGGATGAGCTGGAGGAGAGGGCGAAGCTGCTGCGGGAGGACAAGGAGAACAGGGAGCAGATCCACCAGATCAGTGACTCCGTGCTCTTCCTGCAGGTGACCCCATTTCCCTTTCCTTTGCCCTTGTGAGGACAGGATTTGTCCCAAAGACAATCCCAAACAAGTGTGAGATGTGTGAACTGTCAGCAATGGTGAGACACTGAGTGGTGGTCAGAATCCAAATTTCCTGTGCCCTACATATGCTTATATATTATTATATACCCTCATTGCCCTTCCCTTTGTCCTTGAGAGGATGGCATTTGTCCCAAAGACAATCCATGTGTGAACTATCAGCAATGGTGAGAGACTGAGTGATGATCAGAATCCAATATTTTTGTGGACTACACATGCTTATATACTATTCTAGGCTAGTAATTTTTTACTACAATAATTGTGTTAATCATCACATAAACAAACTTCTACACTCTGCAACATCTCTTGCTTGCAGAAGTTGATTCTTCTTTTCCTGTCAGCCAGTCTTGATTCAGCCCTCAGTCTTGATTCCATCCTCAATGCTCTGCTTGTTCTTGCCAAGGCATGCTGATTATCAGATCTCTTGTGCTAATCAGGTCCAAAACACTCTGTGGCTTGTGTGCCCCAATGTGAGCCTTCCCCAGTTCCCATCCAGGGCAGGGATTCATGGGGACATTTGGAGCTGTCTCTGCTCTGGTGGGTGAGGAATGGACCTGGACATGCCTTTGGTTTGTATGGATGGCTGCAAACCATGGACAGAACACCTCCCTGCCCACCTTCCCTGCCCTCCTTTCTGTGACCGTGTTCACAGGGGTCCCAGGGTGAGGGGAGAGACCAGAACGTTGACTCCATGTTTCAGAAGGCTTGATTTATTATTTTATGATATATATTATATTAAAACTATACTAAAATAATAGAAGAAAGGATTTCCTCAGAAGGCTGGCTAAGAATAGAAAAAGAAAGAATGATAACAAAGGCTGGTTACTGACCAAGACAGTCCAAGCCAGCTGGGCTGTGATTGGCCATTAATTAGAAACAACCACACGAGACCAATCCCAGATGCACCTGTTGCATTCCACAGCAGCAGATAACCATTGGTTGCATTTTGTTCCTGAGGCCTCTCAGCTTCTCAGGAGGAAAAAATCCTAAGGAAAGGATTTTATAAAACATGTCCGTGACACCTTTCCGCTTTCGGATTCCAACACCAACCAGCTCCCTCCGATTCAGCCTCCACACCTTTATGCTCCTCATTCATGCAATCCCTTTCTCTGGCAGGAATTTGGGGCTCTGATGAGGAATTATGTGCCCCCTCCATCCCTCCCCACCTACAGCGTGCTGCTGGAAGGGGAGAGCATGAGCCCATCCATGGGGCTGCTCAGGGATGATCTCCTCAACGTCTGCATGAGGCACGTGGAGAAGATCTGCAAGGCAGACCTGGGCCGCAACTTCATCGAGAGGAACCACATGGAGAACGGTAAAACATCCCAAATATTCCCCTCCCTGCTTCCCTGGAGGGCAGGCTCAGGGGTGGTGAGGATGGTGAGCACTCCTGGTGAGGAAGAAAGCAAGCAAAGACCTGGGCGGGGGAAGTGGGAGAAGCGACTCCTGTAGCTGGAATTAATTCTGGAAGATGAGAGTTAGAAGAATGTGAATTCTGGAATATCAGAGTGGGGTGGAATCAGCTGAACTGCCAGGGGTTTAGGGTATCTCATACAGGACACCAAACTGGCCCCACTTCCCTGATTTTTGGTTCATTTTAGGGTTTCATGTTTAGGATTTAATGTGTGGAGTCAAGAGCAGCCACCCTTCCCTCCTGCCCTGTGCCAGGCCCCAGCAAGGCCCTGGAAGTTTAGCAGGACATTTTCCAGGAGGGGAAACTCCTGAGGTCTGCTGAGGCTGCTCAGTGAAGGGTGAATTCACACAGGTGAAATGTGGGGTGGCAGGTTTGAAACCCCATTTGTACGCTCAGCACATGGAGGGTGCTGGTGTGACATCAAACATTACAAGTGCGGGGTTTCAGCACTGAAATACCCTGCAAGCACCTGCCACTGAGAAGGAAATATTTGAAAATGTAATTTTCCAAGTAAAAAATGGCTCCATTTGGGTGTTCAGTTATAACTTGAGCTGGAATGATTCTGATAATGTTCCCTGTTCCACTTGGGACAGCTTTCCTGCCTGCCCTGACCCAGGGTGTTCACTTCAGTGGTGTTTGAGGTGAGCAGAGAGGTCACAGCCACCACCACATCAGCAAAACCAATCTTTTAACTTTATAACCCACTTCCTCACAATTAGCTGTGAATAAAGGACTTGTCTTGCATCAGGCTCACACCTGAGATCAGGACAGGGCACCACAACAGGGCTGTGCTGCACTTGCAGACCTTTGTAACCCTGGGCACGTTGCCCAATCCCAGGGGATGACCTCTGGCAGCAGGGATGGCAGTGAGGGGTTATCACACCTGGATGGTTGTCCAGGAGAGCAGGGATGGGTGGTTATATCTCACCTGGATGGTTGTCCTGGAGAACAGGGATTAGTGGTTATCTCACCTGGATGGTTCTCCAGGAGAGCAGGGATGAGTGGTTATCACACCTGGATGGTTGTCCTGGGATAGCAGGGATGGGTGGTTATATCTCACCTGGATGGTTGTCCAGAACAGGGATTAGTGGTTATCACACCTGGATGGTTGTCCAGGAGAGCAGGGATGGAAATCACTGGTTATTTCACCTGGATGGTTGTGCAAAACAGGGATGAGTGGTGATCTCACCTGGATGGTTATCCTGGGATAGCAGGGATGAGTGGTTATCACACCTGGATGGTTCTCCAGGGAGAGCAGGGATGAGTGATGATCTCACCTGGATGGTTGTCCAGAACTGGGATGAGTGGTGATCTCACCTGGTTATCACACCTGGATGGTTGTCCAGGAGAACAGGGATGAGTGGTTATCTCACCTGGATGGTTATCCAGGAGAGCAGGGATGGAAATCACTGGTTATCTCACCTAGATGGTTGTCCAGGGATAGCAGGGATGCCAATGAGTGGTGATCTCACCTGGTTATCTCACCTGGATGGTTCTCCAGGGACAGCAGGGATGCCAATGAGTGGTGATCTCACCTGGTTATCTCACCTGGATGGTTGTCCAGGGACAGCAGGGATGCCAATGAGTGGTGATCTCACCTGGATGTTTGTCCAGGACAGCAGGGATGCCAATGAGTGGTTACCTCACCTGCTTATCTCACCTGGATGTAATCTCCCAGCCACTGAGGAAGCCCAATACCAGGGCAGCAGTGGGTGAACTCAGGATAAGTGGCACCCTGCTCTTCCAGGAGGATGTGGGAGGCCAAAAGGTGCAGGAATAACCTCAAGGACAGCTCATGCAACACAGGAGCTGAGGAGCTCTGCTGCAGATCTGCAAGATCTCTGATAATTCTCTCAAATTCACAGTATTTACTGGAGACCCCTCCTGTATTAATAATTACACTGCCCAGAGCCATCATTCTCCATCAGACATGAATTGAATGGACCAGATCCTTCTGGACAAACCTTTCAGGAAGGTCAGGGATCCCAGAGTGCTCAGGATGCACAGCCAGATGCAGGTTTTAAAGCTCTCCCTGTCTTTAAAGTAGCACCAGAAATTGAACATTTCTCATCTTCCATCACTGCAACATTCCTATTAGAATTCCCAACACTCCACATGCTCCAGAATTACTGAGAAATTTGACAAGACCTCAATATCAATAGATGACAAACAGATGCAAAAATCACTCCTGTGCATTTTTCTTTCTTTGTTCGCCTGAAGCTGTGCAGAATTTCCATCTGCTGGGTTTTGCTGGTCCTGGAGCATTTTCCTTGGGCATTTTTAAAACCCAACAAGGTTCTGCAGCCCCTCAGTTGGGGTAGCTCAGGATAAAGCCTGATTACTTCTTGATTATTTTAATTGGGGTCCCCTCCATGTTATAGATGCCAGAAGCCCTTGTTTTTATGTGAAATCCATGGAATCCAAGTGCCAAAATAGTTTTTAAACTCCTGCCAGAAACCTGGGTGCTTCCAGGAGCTTTACCAGGGACTCAGCTTGGATTCTGCCCTAATGAAAAGCTGGGAAATGTTATTTATGGTGAGTCCCAGGAGCTTCAGAGCTCTCCCTTCTCCAAGCCACGGTTACAGATGAAAGAGGGCAGCACTCTGCATCCAGTGGCTGCCAGGGAATTAAATCCATTAAGGAACTGTGGAGTTATTAACTCAGACTCCCCCTGAGTCACTGCAACAGGTTCATTTGCAGCTGGCTTGATCTTCCACTGTAAAAAAAAACAAAACTTCCCAGGAAGAAATATTATATTAATGGAATGAAAGCTGCTTAATAGCAGACTCCAAAGGGAATCCATGTCCTTTTAGTTGTCATAACAGGTACCTGTGTGGTGAGGAGACAAATAACCAGGGAGCTTAAATAGCACTGAAAGGAAATGGGAGAAATAAAAGAAAAGTTTGTTCAGTGACTTGAGAATCAAAGAATGGAGCTATTTAAACATGAAAACTGAATTTACTTCCTTGCAGAGAACAATGGGTTTGCAGAGGCCTCCAAAGAATGTTTTTATCAGCAAGTGTGGTGATAAAGCCTCATTTCCTGTGAGTCAGTGCCAGAAACCCAAACCCGGGCTGTGTAGGTGTAAGTCTGATCCATGAAACCTGAACCAGCCCCCCTTGCCCAAGAGTTTAGAGCTGTTTGAAGCTCAGCTTTAGCATCTCTCTATAAGAACTGGAGAAGCCAACCCGTGGAACCCTCCCAGGAGTGATTTCTGGAGCTCTAAAGAGTGGCAGTTCTCCATCAGCCAGGCTGTGCTAGGCTGAACACACAACAGGAGCCAAACTCAAACTTTGGGAGTAATTTTTAAAATGCCACACAACAGCATTTTGGTAGGAAAATGCCTCAACCCTCAGATCTCCCTATGGATTTAATAGAAGTTTCTGTGTTTGCTGTGAGGTCAAATGCTTCACCTGGGCTCTGCCTCTGAAGAAACCTTTTATTTTAGACCCTGGCCAGCTCCAGAACTGCTTTAGCTGCCAGGCAAAGATGCCCCAGGGGGATTAAAGAGCCCCAAAGTGCATCCCTGTGCTGCCTGGACCTGGGGGTGCCGGTGATGAGCAGCTGGGCATGAGCCAGCAGAGTGCCCTGGTGGCCAGGGGGGCTCCTGGCCTGGGTCAGGAGTGGCGTGGCCAGCAGGAGCAGGGAGGTCACTGTGCCCCTGGCCTGGGTCAGGAGTGGTGTGGCCAGCAGGAGCAGGGAGGTCACTGTGCCCCTGGCCTGGGTCAGGAGTGGTGTGGCCAGCAGGAGCAGGGAGGTCACTGTGCCCCTGGCCTGGGTCAGGAATGCTGTGGCCAGCAGGAGCAGGGAGGTCACTGTGCCCCTGGCCTGGGTCAGGAGTGGTGTGGCCAGCAGGAGCAGGGAGGTCACTGTGCCCCTGGTCTGGGTCAGGAATGGTGTGGCCAGCAGGAACAGGGAGGTCACTGTGCCCCTGGCCTGGGTCAGGAGTGGTGTGGCCAGCAGGAGCAGGGAGGTCACTCTGCCCCTGTGCTTGGAGCTGGTGAGGCCACACCTGGAGTGCTGTGTCCAGTTCTGGGCCCTCAGTTTGGGAAGGATGCTGAGATGCTCAAACACAGGGATGGTGAGGGGCTGGGAACACAAACCCTGTGAGGAACTGGGGCTGTTCAGCCTGAGAAGAGGAGGCTCAGGGGTGCCCTTATTGCTCTCTGCACCTTCCTGAAGGGAGGTGCAGACAGGTGGGGTTGGTCTCTGACAAAACCAGAGCACACAGGCTCCAGCTATGGCAGGGAAGGGATAGGTTGGATATTGGGGAAAAATTTTTCACCAAAAGAATAATAAAGCACTGGAATGCTCTTCCCAGGGAGGTGGTGGAATCACCATCTCTGAATGTGTTTAAAAACAGACTGAGCTTGGCACTGGGTGCTGTGGTCTGGGTGAGGTGTGAGGGCACAGGTTGGGCTTGATGATCTTGGAGGTCTCTTCCAACCTCATCATTCTGGGATTCTGTGATTAATTCTGTGATTCTGTGACTCTGTGATTCTGCAATTCTGTGACTCTGTGATGCTGTGATTCTGTGATTCTGCAATTCTGCAATTCTGTGACTCTGTGACTCTGTGATGCTGCAATTCTGTGACTCTGTGATTCTGTGACTCTGTGATTCTGCAATTCTGCAGTTCTGTGACTCTGTGACTCTGTGATTCTACAATTCTGCAATTCTGTGACTCTGTGATTCTGCAATTCTGTGATTTAGTGATTCAGTGATTCAGTGACTCTGTGGCTCTGTGACTATGATTCTGTGATTAATTCTGTGATAAATTCAGTGATTCAGTGACTCTGTGGCTCTGTGACTGTGATTCTGTGATTAATTCTGTGATAAACTCTGTGATTCAGTGATTCATGCCCTGCTCTCCCTCCCCAGGGGATCACCGGTTCATGATGAACAACTACGAGTGGAACCAGCCTGACAACCTGAAGAGATTCTCCATGTTCCTGTCTCCCAAAGGTAAGGATGGCATCCCACAGCTGGGCAGGCTCCCTTCCACCTCACAAAAGGAACTTCACACGATCCAGCCCAAAATTTGCTCTTTTCCACATCTCAGATCCATCCTTCTGCACGTTTTCTCTCCAGTTACAGAGCTTTTGCCTCAAAGCAGGCAGAAAAGGTGATCAGTTTTATGGGGAAGAGCTGGAGTGGCTGAACTCTATCCAAGAGTGAATATAGGGGAGTTTTTACATGAGTTTCCAGGATAAAATCAGAGTTTTTCTCCACCCAAAGCTTATCTCTCTGTGCTATCAAGTGAATGCTGCATTAAGATTTTACTTTCACCACCAAACATAATTTTTCCTTACAGGGAAAGGACAGAAGAAGTGAGGAATATGTCCAAAAAAAAATAAAAATCAGGAGTCTGTAGCTCCTCTGTGAGCTCTGGCAAGAGCCCTGGGGATTTGCTTGTCCCATTCGTAGTGTGGCCACTGCAGGGTGAATTTTTGGAGTGAACCAACGCTTCCAACACATCCAGCTCCAAAATCCCAGTTGGAATTCCTAAAGTGGCATCAAGAGCAGGGAGCTGAGAGTGCTGAAAGCCCGGGGAAGGCGAGAAACAAAAGAACAGGAAGGGTGGCACAAAGCAAGGGACCGAATTTCAGCCCTGCCTGGGTTTGCCAGGTGTTCCCAGCTGCTGCTGTGGGCAGGGACAGGGACCCTCCCTGAGGGCACATTCCTGCCCTGTGCTGGTGTTTCCTGAGGATAACCCAGACCCCAACACTGAGCCCTTTGTCTGGGTTGCCACTTTGCCCTTTTCTGCCCTTTTCTGCCCTATTCTGCCCTCAGCCCACGCCTGGCAGCTCCCTGAGGATGTTTGGAGCGGGGCTGGCATTCCTGTTTCTGTGCCAGCAGGGCTCTTCCCGAGTTCAGGGGCAGAGGGGTGATTTTCTAGACCTGAGTTTGTTTTTCTGCTCTCTTTCCTCAAGGTTTGCAGGCCCTGTGCTGTCAGGGAAGTTCTGCTGAGACCAGACTCAGCCCTGCACCCAAAACTTTCCAACCCTGAGGGAAATCTGAAAATCAATTTTAAACATAGCACAAGCTGAGCTTATCTCTACCCAAAATCTGGAGCTTTCAGGTGGAAAAAGCCCCGAAGGCATTAAAGGGGTGTGGCAGGGAGGAGCAGCAGGCAGTGCCATCCCCTGGGATGGGGACAGTGCCCAGCCTGGCAAAAAGGAAGGGGGAAAAGAAGGGAAAAGCCATTTTGGCAGTGGCACAGCATGGTCAGTGAGTGCTGAGCTGGGATCCAGCATTTCAGGAGGGACCCTCAGGCCCTGCCAGGTCCATGTGGTTTGTGTCCAGAGCAGAGTGAGGCTGCACAGCCATTCCCCTCCTCCTGCTGGCTGTCCAGAGCTGGGGGATGCTTTATCCCAGCTCCACATCCCTGTTTTCCTGGAAACACACACAGTGCTGCCTTCCCAATTACTCACTCTGTGTTTGCTATCAACAAAGTGACTCTGGCCAAAAACAAGGCAGGCCATGATTGCTCACAGAGCCTGTGCTGGATGGGGATGGAGCAGAGAACGGCAAGGATCCAGATGATCCATGGTTGGACACAGAGCCTGTGCTGGATGGGGATGGAGCAGAGAAAGGGCTCAGGGAGGGTCCAGGTGATCCAGGATTGCCTGTGCTGGATGTGGATGGAGCAGAGAAAGGGCTCAGGGAGGGTCCAGGTGATCCAGGATTGCACCCAGAGCCTGTGCTGGATGGGGATGGAGCAGAGAAAGGGCTCAGGGAGGATCCAGATGATCCATGGTTGGACACAAAGCCTGTGCTGGATGGGGAAGGAGCAGGGCCAGGGCTCAGGGAGGGTCCAGCTGATCCAGGATTGCACCCAGAGCCTGTGCTGGATGGGGAAGGAGCAGAGGAAGGGCTCAGGGAGGATCCAGATGATCCATGGTTGGACACAGAGCCTGTGCTGGATGTGGATGGAGCAGAGAAAGGGCTCAGGGAGGGTCCAGGTGATCCAGGATTGCCTGTGCTGGATGGGGATGGAGCAGAGAAAGGGCTCAGGGAGGATCCAGCTGCTGGAACCATTCCAGGGGGGACTCTGGGAGCAGCATGAATCAGTAGGCAAAGCAGGAGACGTGACCCACTTGGCTCGCAGGCTGGCTGGCCAAGGATCAGCCCATGAATAATGCACCATCCCCATCATCATCATCATCACTGAGCTCTCCTGAGCTCCCTGTGCCCTGTCCCTGTGGCAGCCAAGTCCAGCAGTGCAGCTGATTGCATCTCTGTTCAAGAATCCCAAAAAACAGGAGGGGGAAAAAAGCCGAGGACCACCCTCTGCATTGTGTCACAGCCTTGGAATCCTTCAGTATCTCATGGCAGCTTTGCTGCACGCCCTGTTTGCAGGCTGGGTCACTGCAGATTCTGCCCCAGGCCACAGTGGAAATTCTGTTTGCTGGATTGGGGAATGCTCTGTGCTGATGGCAGCAGCCCAGACTGGGGAACTGCTTGGATTCCAGCTGAACCCATTGGGTTTGAACCCTGCTTAAATTCAAGGCTTCCACTGCTCCTGAATTTCATAATAAATGGCTTCAAGCTGAAAGATAGGAGGTTTAGATGGGATATTAGGAAGAAATTCTTCCTGCAAGAGTGGTGAGGCCCTGGCACAGAGCAGCTCTGGCTGCCCCTGGAGCCCTGGAAGTGCCCAAGGCCAGGCTGGACAGGGCTTGGAGCAACCAGGTGTCCCTGCCCATGGCAGGAGCTGCAATGAGATTATTTTTAAGGTCCTTTCCAACCCAAACCATTCCATGCTCCAATATTTCCTTGCAGGGATGACAGGATGAGGCAGAGGGGCATAAAACACTTCTAACACTGCCCCAAAGACAGAGGAGCAATCTGTCCAGCTGCTCCAGCTCCTTTCTGACCTCTCCCACTGAGCTTTCTTCTCCTGGTGTGTCAGTTTGGCCAAAGCCAGGAGGAGGCTGGAAAAATCACCCTGGAATGAAGAGTAGAAGGGACTCAGGCACACAGAGAGAGAATTGTGTGCACAGAAACACACCTCAGACAGAATTGTGTGCACAGAAACACATCTCAGACAGAATTGTGTGCACAGAAACACATCTCAAACAGAGAAGCAGTCCACAGGATGGCAGCAGAGCAGCTCCAAGGATCCTTCTTTTTGCTTTACTGCGTGCTCAAAGGGCTTTATTGCCTCCCCTACACACCAGTGTGTGTCCTGGTGGAGCCTGGGGCACTCACCTGGCACAGGGCAGGGAAATGTTCCTGTTCTGGGACACACAGGGCAGGGAAATGTTCCTGTCCTGGTGCACACACAGGGCAGGGAAATGTTCCTGTCCTGGGACACACAGGGCTGGGAAATGTTCCTGTCCTGGTGCACACACAGGGCAGGGAAATGTTCCTGTTCTGGGACACACAGGGCTGGGAAATGTTCCTGTTCTGGGACACACAGGGCAGGGAAATGTTCCTGTCCTGGGACACACAGGGCAGGGAAATGTTCCTGTTCTGGGACACACAGGGCTGGGAAATGTTCCTGTCCTGGTGCACACACAGGGCTGGGAAATGTTCCTGTTCTGGTGCACACACAGGGCAGGGAAATGTTCCTGTTCTGGTGCACACACAGGGCAGGGAAATGTTCCTGTCCTGGTGCACACACAGGGCAGGGAAATGTTCCTGTCCTGGTGCACACACAGGGCAGGGAAATGTTCCTGTCCTGGTGCACACACAGGGCTGGGAAATGTTCCTGTCCTGGTATCTCTGGAGCACTGAACCCCCAGCTCTGCCTGCAGAGCTCTCACATGGAGTACCCAAACCCAAACCTGCAGCTCTGTGGCACTGGGAGCTCTGCTCACTGCAGGAGAAGAGTTCTTCTCTCTCTGTCCCCCATTCCCCATCGCCCAGGGGTAAAACCCAGGCTCTCCTCTGCTGCCTGGGCCCTGATTTCTGCTCTGGGGCTGCTCCCAGCTCGGTGGGGACCTTTCCTAGAGCAGTGCCAGGCACAGCCTCGTCAGGAGCCCACTGCTGAACTGGATGCTCTTGTTTTACAGCCAATTTCAACCCACGGTCATGGGAATTTTCCTCCTTCCAAGCGACCGAGGAAACACTTGGTACGGGTAATTCTGCCTGCAGCCTGAGAGGATCTAACCCCCCGTGCCACAGCTTTCTGCCTCACTAACCCACCTCTCCTGCTGCCCCTCTCAGCTGCCCTGGCACCTAAAAACCCCAGAGCCAGCCCCTGCTGGGTTATCACACACAGCCCAGCCAGGGAAAGGCACCCCTGGTTCTGCTTGGTCACAGAGAAAGGAGGTGCAGAAACACAGGAGGAGGTTGGCAAAGATGCCCAGAACACTCAGAGCACCCTGGGGAGGTTGTGGCAGAAGCAGGAGCAGACTCCAAGTACTCCCAGCCAGTCTCAGAAGCACGAGGTGCTTCGTTCTATCACACCTTTTATTAATGAGAGGTATTCCTACCTCTTAGGTGTCCTTGTTCTCTAAGGAGGATATTCCCAACTGGACATTACAACCCCCATTTTTTCCCCCTGAATTCCATGGTCATTCCTTCAGTGAAGGGGGGAAAATGAAAACCCCCCTTTTTTTCCTGAATTCTGTGGTTATTCCTTCAATGATGGGGGATATTCCCAACAGGACATTAAAACCCCCTTTTTTTTCCTGAATTCTGTGGTTATTCCTTCAGTGGTGTGGGGATATTAAAACCCCCCGTTTTTTTCTTGAATTCCTTGGTTATTCCTTTAATGATGGGGGGATATTCCCAACTGGACATTAAATCCCCCCTTTTGTCCTGAATTCTGTGGTTATTCCTTCAGTGATGGGGGGATATTCCCAGCCAGGCTGGAGATTAAAACTCCCATTTTTTCCCTGAATTCCTTGGTTATTTCTTTAATGATGGGGGTACATTAAACCCCCCATTTTTTCCCTGAATTCCTTGGTTATTTCTTTAATGATGGGGGTACATTAAACCCCCCATTTTTTCCCTGAATTCCTTGGTTATTCCTTTAATGATGGGGAGACATTAAAACCCCCATTTTTTTTCCTGAATTCCTTGGTTATTTCTTTAATGATGGGGGTACATTAAACCCTCCATTTTTTTCCTGAATTCCTTGGTTATTCCTTTAATGATGGGGGGACATTAAAACCCCCATTTTTTTTTCCTGAATTCCTTGGTTATTCCTTCAATGATGGGGGGATATTCCCAGCTGGAATATCCTGTGTTCTCAAGGACACAGCCTGGCCCACGTTCATGCCTTTTCTTCCCAGATCCCCATCTTCCTTTCCCTTCCCATTTTCCTCCTTTGCTTCGTTCCTCCAAGGTCCTCCAAGGTCCATCCTTTCCTGCTCCCTGGAAGCAGCCAGGGCCACCCTGCCTGGGGAGCTCTGGTGACTCAGGGCCACACCTCAGCCAGGGCTGGGTCCCTCTCATCTCCCTGCTCTCAGATTCCTTCCTGACCCCAAGGAGGCCAGGAGGGGAAGCTTTGATGGTTTGGAGGAAGCCTGCAGTGCTGGGAGGAAGGGCAGTGCTGGAGTCATCCCTCCTGCCCCGGGGAGCTGCTGCTCTCCAGCCACACCTGCACTCTGGGGCTCTCAGGAGAAAGGCTGGGCCCTGCCTGGAGGCTGGCATCACCTCACACCCACACACAGCTCTGACAGTGCTCACAGGGGTCCTGGGATGAGGGGAGAGACAAGGAGCTGACTCTGTGTTTCAGAAGGCTTGATTTATTATTATATTATATTATATTTTTATATATTTTATATTTTTTTATATATAAAATATATTTATATATTTATATATATATATTATATATTTATATATATTTATATTTTATATATTTTAATATATTTATGAATTTTTATATATTATGTATATTTTATATATTTATGAATTTTTATATATTTATATATATTTTTATATATTTATTAATTATATTATATTCAAACTATACTAAAAGAATAGAAGAAAAGATTTCATCAGAAGGCCGGCTAAGAATAGAAAAGCAATTAAATGGCTCTTGGACAGAGAGTCCAAGCCAGCTCACTGTGATTGGCCATTAATGAGAAACAACCACATGAGCCCAATCCCAGATGCACCTGTTGCATTCCACAGCAGCAGATAACCATTGTTTGCATTTTGTTCCTGAGGCCTCTCAGCTTCTCAGGAGGAAAAATCCTAAGGAAAGGGATTTTTCAGAAAATACCATGGCTACACAGAGCTGCCTGCCCTCACCTGCCTCCTGTCCCTGAGAGAAAAAAGGGACCAGAGGCACAAGGGGCTGGTGTCCCCCTGAGCCAGGTGGAGGCAGTGCCACGGGGCTGTTTGGAACTGCCCCCCTGCAGCCCTGTGGAATAACAAAAACCTCTTTATCTTCCAGTAGGCAATGGCACTAAGCTGCCTTTTCAGTTCTCCTCGGTGGGACAGAATCCGCCCGGTGACTTCAGCAAACAGTCTGATGGGAGCCTCTTCACTAAGACCGGTACTAGGAACTGACTGTTCCCCTTCCTCCCGCCCTTTGAGGTGCCAAACCCCCCTCAAATGCCTTCCTGTCCCGTTTGAGGTGCCAAATTCCCTAATCTGCCTTCCTGCCCCCTTTGGGGTGCCAAACCCCCCTAATCTGGCTTTCAGTCCCATTTGAGGTGCCAAATTCCCTAATTTGCCTTTCTGTTCCATCTGAGGTGCCAAACCCCCCTAATTTGCCTTCTTGCCCCATTTCAGGTGCCAAACTCCCTAATCTTCCTTCCTGGTAATAAGAGGAATTAGTACCTTATCCTCTGAGGAGGATATTCCCAAGTGGACATTAAAACCCCCATTTTTTTTCCTGAATTCTGTGGTTATTCCTTCAGTGATATTCCCAACTGGACGCCTTTTGGCACCTTTGAGGTCCCAAACCCCCTCATCCTGTTGTGCCTTCCTCCCACTCCTTTGAGGTGCCAAACCCCCCTAATCTGCCTTCCTGGTAATAAGAGGTGTTAATACCTCTTAGGTATCCTTATCCTCTGAGGAGGATATTCCCAAGTGGACATTAAAACCCCCATTTTTTTTTTCCCTGAATTCCGTGGTTATTCCTTCAGTGGTGGGGGGATATTCCCAACTGGACGCCTTTTGGCACCTTTGAGGTCCCAAACCCCCTCATCCTGCTCTGCCTTCCTGGAGCAGCACCTTGGCCTCCCTGCCAATCTCTGAGGCACCTGCCCAGAGTGACTCTGCTGAAGCAGGGCAGCAAGGATTGTTAAAAACCATTCAAGTTTTATTTAGGGAACAGGTGGAGGGATTTTAAATTTTGTTTGTAATGGGCAGGGATAAATTTTAGATGATTCTTGAGGAAGACACCATTTGCCCCTCTCGTTTCATGGCTGAAAAATAACTCAAACAGCATAACCTTAAAAAAAAAAGAATTCAGGAGCTCACCAAAACCAAACCCTCATTCACCACCTCATCACCCTGCTGTCACTTCCCACCAGGGGTGGGATCCAGGTGCTCCAGGACCTGCCAAGCAGAGTCAGGCGTGATTAATTTGGGATGCTGGGCCATGGTGACATTGGCTGTGACACTGCTGGGGGGCTGGAAGGGGGTCAGGGCTCCTCAAGCTGCCGGAGGAGCTGCAGGAAGGCCAGGCTCAGCTCTCTGCACTAATTAAACAGCCTGCAGCGCTCTCTGCAAGAGCCACAACGCTGACTTTGGGACTCGGCCTGAATTTAATTGGTCTGATTGCATTCCACCGCTCTGCATTCCTCAGACATTTTAATTAGCCGGCCCTTCTCTGCTGCCTTTCCCTGCCTGATTGGGTGGTGGCAGAGGCATCAGTCTGTCGGGCTGTCTGTGTGTCCCACCCCGGGCACGGCTGCATTTCCTCGTTGAGCAATGCAACGCTAATGAGGTGGCACTTCCAGTCCTGCTGCTGCTCCTGGGGACAGCGCGGGGGTGGCAGTGGCAGGGGCTGTGTGTGTGACTGTGTTTTGTGTTGTCACAGCCTACCCTTCCATAGTGAGGCACCAGTCTGCAAAGGTGACGCCACAGACGTGGAAATCCTCCTCCAAGCAGTCTGTATTGGTAAGGAAAAGAATAACTTTTGTTCCTTGGGGGAGCTTCAGGAATAAGGATGGGTCATTTGGGAGCGTGGAAATGAAAGTTTCAGCCCCACTGCTCCTGCTCAGGATGCAGATTAACCCCCCCCAGCACTGATCAACGCTGCAAAAATGATGTTTTGAAAAGGTTTTGGTCTAAAATGTGATGCAGAAATAGGGACAGTGCAAATGCTGTACAATGGTACTGATAGCACTTTTCCCTGTCACCCACTCTGTCACCCACCCTGTCCTTTGGGAATGTGGAAATAAAAGTTTCAGCCCCACTGCTCCTGTTCAGGATGCAGATTAACCCCCCCAGCACTGATCAACGCTGCAAAAATGATGTTTTGAAAAGGTTTTGGTCTAAAATATGACGCAGAAATAGGGACAGTGCAAATGCTGTACAATGGTACTGATTGCACTTTTCCCTGTCACCCACTCTGTCACCCACCCTGTCCTTTGGGAATGTGGAAATGAAAGTTTCAGCCCCACTGCTCCTGCTCAGGATGCAGGTTAACACCCCCCAGATTTTACAGCTCTAATCAGTGCTGCAAAAATGATGTTTTGAAAACATTTTGGTCTAAAATATGATGCAGAGATAGGGGCAGTGCAAATGCTGTACAATGGTACTGATAGCGCTTTTCCCTGTCACCCACTCTGTGTCACTCTGTGACATCCACAGAGTGTCAGTGACACCAGACACAGCCACAGCAAAGTGATCCTGTCCTGCAGTGGCCAATGCAGCATCCCAGGTGAGGGATCAGGAATCCCCACAGCACCTCTGAGCCCCTGGCTTCACACTGACCATGACAAGAGGCACAGGGCAGTGATCCAGTGATGTTTTAGGGCCTGTAGTCTCAAATACACTGCCCCAGGGGCACCCAGCTAATCTGGTTTTATTCACACTGTGCTGCATTGAGGCCTTGCATGATCTGGATTAAGTTTGTCGAGCTTTCGCCACCACAAACGAAACATTTTGTTTATTTATTTATTTTTTTTTTAAGTTGCACATTTTTGAGAGATGATTTATTGTTTGGTGGAAGGAGCAGAGAGCATTCCCACGCTGAGGGAAACCACACCAGGTAGAAATTGAGGGCTGCAGCTGGATCTGCCCCATTTTCAAGGCTCCCCAGGAGGAGAATTCCCATGGAAGGGATGTTCCTTGGGAGATTCTCCCAGGAAATCCAGCCTGGAGCCTTTGAAGGTGCTGCAGCAAACCAGCAAAACTCTGCCATCCCTTCTGCCTCGGGTTTGACCTCTAAAACATCATCCCCCACATCCTTTGTGCTCCCAGGGATTTTTCTTTAATCCCCACAGAGAAAATCTGGGTGACTTCTCCCACCATCCCTTCCCTGTGTCCCTTCCTCTCCTTTTTACACATTTATAATGACCATTTCCTTTTTATAGCCAATATTCACCACACAGCCCTGAACCCAACAACTGAGCTGATAAATATAAGCATTTCAAAGCACCAAAATAGAAATACATACTGCAGTATCTCTGCAGGAGCTTTTATGGTCTGTTGGGCCAATAATCTGGCTTTTAAACCAGCCTTTAAATGTGCATTTAAGTAATATGCATTCTAAAAGGTCTGTAAATATGAATTTTCACTAAGGACTGGGCTGTTTAAGGAGGAAGGTCTTTTTCACACCCAGGGAGCTGTTTTAAATGAAGCCCCCCTCTTTCATATCTTAATTTTGTTGGAAATTAGAGCCAGAAAGTGAAGAGAATCTTGATAAAAGGGAACATTGAGCAGGGAGATGGGCTGGGCTTGCTCTGGTGTTTCCTGCTGTTCAATGGGGCTGCACCAAAAGGGGCCTGGGGGGTTTCTCCCACCTCCTGCACCTGAGAACAAACCCAAGGCAGACTGGGCTTTAAAACATCAATTTTTTCCTGAATCCCATGGTTATTCCTTCAGTGGTGGGGGGGATATTAAAAAACCCCCATTTTTCCCTGAATTCAGTGGTTATTCCTTCAGTAATGAGGGGATATTAAAAACCCCCATTTTTTCCCCTGGATTCCATGGTTATTCCTTCAGCTGTGGGAGGATATTCCCAACTGGACATTAAAAGCCCCATTTTTTCCTGAATTCCATTTTTTCCTGAATTCCCCTTTGATGATGGGGGGATATTAAAACCCCCATTTTTCTCCCTGAATTCCATTGTTATTCCTTCAGTGATGGGGGGATATTCCCAGCCAGGCTGGAGATTGTGCAGCCAATATAGAATATATATTTTATATATATATTTATATAAAAAATATGTACTATTTATATATTATAACATAACTAATTAAAAAATATAGTATAATATAAATATAGAAATATACTATTTCTATAGTATAACATAACGAATTAAAATTATAGTATAATATAAATATGTAAAATAAGATATTTTAAAATTAAGTTAAAATAGAAACATTTTGTTATATAGTATTTTATTAATAAATATTTTTAAAGTCTTATGGTTAAAAGTGTAGAGTTAAATTAGTAGAATTTAATTAATTAATTATATTTAATTTAAATTAATTTTAATTCATTTTAAACTTTTAAAATTAAATTATAAAAACATAGATTAAACGATATAAAAATAAAATAAAATACTTTAAAATTAAGTTAAAATATTATATTTTGTTATATAGTATTTTATTAATAAATATTTTTAAAGTCTTATAGTTAAAAGTGTAGAGTTAAATTAGTAGAATTTAATTAATTAAATTTAATTTGAATTGATTTAAATTAATTTAAATTAATTTAAAATTTAAATGATTTAAAATCTTTAAAATTAAATTATCAAAATACAAACTTTAAATTAAAAAAATACAAACTTTAAATTATAAAAATACAAACTTTATAGATTGAACTACATAAAAATAAAATAAATAAGCCGCATCATGAAAAACAATTCAAAAATCCAATTCCTTGCAGCACCGAGGCAGGAATTAGTGAGATGAGGGTGGATGGGAGAGGAAAAGGAGGGCTCAGACTGACGTGCCCCAAATTCTCTCCCTTGCAGTCCCATTATCGCCCCTTCTACGTCAACAAAGGCAACGGAGCCACCTCCAACGAGGCGCCCTGAGCCGCTGCGGGTGAGAGGAGAGCTCCGCTGAGATTGTCACCGATGTCCCCGCTCTGCCCACCCGCCTGCTCCCCCAGGGCAGGGCAGCCATGGCCCTGCCCTCAGCACACCGGGACTTCTCCCTCCTTGTGCCCTCCCCGTCCCCCCGGCTGCTCTGCCCCTCTGGGAATTGTGGATGCTTGGGTGGCACCCCCTGCTAGGCAGCTGTGCCCTTGTCCCCAGAGCTGGGAATGTGTCACCACCCCTGCTAGGCAGCTGTGCCCTTGTCCCCAGAGCTCTCAGGCCCTGCTGGATAACCCAAAACTCTTCCCAGACTCCAGATTTTCCTCTCCACCCTGGGGTCACATCCCTGGTGAGATGGGACCTCCATCAGCTCAGTTCTGCTCCTCACCTTCCCAACAAAACCCCATCAGGATTTTCCCAGAGCTGGGAATGTGTCACCACCCCTGCTAGGCAGCTGTCCCCTTGTCCCCAGAGCTGGGAATGTGTCACCACCCCTGCTAGGCAGCTGTCCCCTTGTCCCCAGAGCTGGGAATGTGTCACCCCTGCTAGGCAGCTGTCCCCTTGTCCCCAGAGCTCTCAAACCCTCCCAAAATTCTTCCCAGCCTCCAGATTTCCTCTCCACCCTGGGGACACAGCCCTTGGTGGCATCTCATGTCCCCAAGGTCCTCCAAACTCAGCCCTGCTCCTCATCTGACAAAATCCCCATCAGGATTTTCCCAGAGCTGGGAATTGTGTCACCCCTGCTAGGCAGCTGTCCCCTTGTCCCCAGAGCTGTCATGCCCCAAAGATGGACACCCCAAAGCTCTTCCCAGGCTCCAGATTTTCCTCTCCATCCTGGGGACACCCAGCTCTTGCTTGTGTCACATCCCCTGGTGGCATCTCATGTCCCCAAGGTCCTCCAAGCTCAGTTCTGCTCCTCACCTGCCCAAAACCCCATCAGGATTTTCCCAGAGCTGGGAATGTGTCACCACCCCTGGCTGGGCAGCTGTCCCCTTGTCCCCAGAGCTCTCAAACCCTGGTGGGTGCCCCAAAGCTCTTCCCAGCCTCCAGATTTCCTCTCCATGGTGGGGTCACATCCCCTGGTGAGATGGGACCTCCATCAGCTCAGTTCTGCTCCTCACCTCCCAAAAAACCCCATCAGGATTTTCCCAGAGCTGGAATTGTGGCACCCCATGTCCCCAGGCTCCTCCATCAGCTCAGTTCTGCTCCTCACCTCCCAAAAAACCCCATCAGGATTTTCCCAGAGCTGGAATTGTGTCACCACCCTGTGCTAGGCAGCTGTCCCCTTGTCCCCAGAGCTCTCAAACCCTTCTGGATGCCCCAAAGCTCTTCCCTCTCCACCCTGGGGACACCCAGCTCCTGCTTGTGTCACATCCCCTGGTGGCACCTCATGTCCCCAGGGTCCTCCAAGCTCAGCCCTGCTCCTCACCTGCCCAGAAACCCCAGCAGGATTTCCCCAGAGCTGCTGGAGGAGCACAGGGAGGTTTCCCAGCCCGTTCAAGTGCCCCTCCAGCCACCTTTTGGAATTAAGAAATAAAAAGCAAATCCATCCTAGTAATAGAAGATTGATTAGATGCCATAGGTGCTGGGTGCTTTTCTAGTTTGTGGTGGTTTTTCTTAATTCCCTTAAACCAAAATTGATTTATATGCTGTAGTTCATGTATTTTATAATTTTTTTTCCCTGCAGTGAGAATTACTGCCACAGCTTTTTTTGCTCAGGATAATATTTTTGTATTTGCCCCCTGGACAGATGAATCACATCCAGGGCTGGAGAAGCATTCCATGTTCTCCCTGAGGTGATTTTCCCTCTCCATGGACAAGCTGAGGGGTTCAGTCCATGCAGTGCAGGGGGAGAAATGGGAATGAGAGCCCTCAAATGCTGAAAACCAAGACCCAGCAGCTCCTTTTCATGGTTTGCTCTATCCAAGCAGCTTTGGAATGGCTTCCCCCCACCTTTTCCTGCTTGCAGCACCTTGCTGAGGGAGGTCCCACCTCAAAACTCCTTCCTGGCTCATCCCTTTGCAGAGACCCCTGGCTTTTTAACCCAACACCTCACCCAAAGCTCCTGGGGCTGAATGTTGGTCACTCCAGAGCACTTGAAGTGTCACTTTATGATGATTTTTAATTTTTTTTTCCCCCCTATAAGGACCAGAGGGGGAAGGGGCTGGCGTGGTAAGGCAGGATGTGACAAAAAGGATGTGACAAAAGGGATGGAATTGCTGGGAAAAGCACTGAGGGCTTTGAGGATGTGTGTGAGGAGATAAAATCAGCCCCCTCCAGGTCTCACTGTTTTGCCCTTGAGCAGGTCCAGCAAAACCTTGCACCACCTCCTTTTTATGCTCCAAAACATGAAAATATTCTCCTCCTCCTCCTCCTCCTCCTCCTCCTCCTCCTCAGCTTGGATGTTGAATCCCCCCAGCCCTGAGCCAGGCTGTGTGGTGCCAGCTGGACCCTCCTGAGGCCACCTCTGTCCCCCCTGTGCCTCCTTGCCCTCCCCAGGGGCCTCCCAGCCCAAATTCCCACAGGAATGGAGCTGCTCCCTGCCTGCCCCAGCCCTGGAGACACCAGGACCCCCCTGGGACCCTCATTTTCCCCCCAGGATGGAGCTCAGGGGCTTCTGGGGGGTTCCAGGGGGTTCCTGGGCTTCCCTGGGGGTTCCAGCCAGGCCTTGGGGTGTGCAGGAACTGTTTGGATCCAGTCTTGGTCAGCAAAGCCCCAGGAATGATGATGGTGGTAATGATGATGATGATGATGATGATGATGATGATGATGATGGTGATGATGATGGTGATGATGGTGATTCCTCCTCAGACAGGACAGGGCTCTGCTGGTGATGTAAATGCAGAAATAAAGGAGAAAGCTCCATGTCTGACCAAACCCAACGGGCTCTGCTCTGTCTTTGGTGTTTCTGTGCTCTCACTGAGGCTGAGCCTCTCCCAAATTATCCTTGATGATCCTTGAGATCCTTGAATATCCAAATTATCCTTGGGCAGCAGGCTTGGAGAAGACATTTCCACAGCTCTCTGAGGCTGTTTCGCTGCTTTTTTGGATAATTGAATTATTTGAATATTGGAATTTGAATATTGGAATTTCCTTTGGAAATTCCTTTGGAATTTCGTTTTTTGAATATTGGAACTTCCTTTGGTCAGAGGAAATTCCCACATCCTTGAGACTCTCCTTGAGAGTCAAAAGGGGATGAACATTTCCAGTTTTGCTGCTTTTTGGGTATTTAAGGTCAGAGGAAATTCCCACATCCATGAGAGTCAAAAGCTGATGTACATTTCTCGTCTTGCTGCTTTTTGGGTATTTAAGGTCAGAGGAAATTCCCACATCCTTGAGGGCCAAACACTGATGTACATTTCCAATACCACACCCCAAAAATACCCCTTAGATCAGTTCCCAAGCACTGGTGCCACAAAAGTCCTTCCCTACAAGGGCATTTCTGAAAAACCCCTCAGCCTGTGCCAGACTTGAACCTCCCCAGGTCCCTCTGGAGGTAAATGCTTGTTCCTATACTTATTGGCCAAAATATGATTATTTTGGCCCAGCCTGGGCCTGGATCTCCCCAGGAGGTTGGTTCTGGGACCCTCCACCCTCTTGAGCCCTTCTGGGGACCTCTGGTTGTGCTCAGCTCAAAGCTCTTGAGTCCATCCCAGCTTCTCCTTCCCCTGAGGGAGAGATAAAACCCCTGTGGGGTGCTGAAAATGCAGATTCAAGGCCAAAACCAAGGAGGTGTAGCCCTGATAGCTGCTTAAAGGAGCAATTGTACATCCCTCTGCGTGGACAAGAGTTTTTCACAGATTTCCAGAGGATTCCTGGCATATTTCTACTCCAAACATTAAATACCAGCTATTTTTCCCCAGCCATCAGCACCACTCATCCTGAAGAGCCAGGATCCCACCAATCCACTGGAGGAGCTGGCAAATCCTTTTTGTTTACCCCACAAGGGAGCCAGCAGAGGAGAGAGCTCAGCTCCTTGCCATCAATTCCACTCATTGCCTCCGTTACTGTTATTACTGTGATTAAAAAGCAATCAAAGAGAAATCTTCTGCCTGTCCTGGAACTGCTGCACAACGCCTCAGTTCCACCACTGGAGCAGGAGAAGGGAGAATTTCCAGCACCCCCTGAGCTCCTGGGCTTGGTGACAGCTGGGAATGAGGATGGAGCTCCTGGCCTGAGCAGGGAGCAGGGCTGCAATGGAGGAATGAACGTTTTTAATGCAGGGGGTTGGATTAAATGAGCTTTCTTTGGGGTCTCTTCTCACCCAGATTATTCCATGATCCCCTAAGGAATGGGGGTGATGGGTTCTGGGTTTCCCTGGCCCACCCAGGGGGGTGCAGGGGACACTGGGACACCCAAAGGGGCTGTGAGAGCGGGGCTCAGTGACACCCACAGGGTGACTTGGGGTGACACCAGCAGCTGTGACAGCCCTTTGGGGGCCTGGATCAGGGAATCACAGCGTGGTTTGAGCTGGAATGGACCTCAAAGGTCACCCTGGGGACAGGAGGTGGCTCTGAGGCTGCTCCTGGGGCAGGAGGTGGCTCCATGGACAGTCCCAGGATGGACCCTGGGGACAGGAGGTGGCTCAGGGTTATGGGTCAGTCCCAGGGACAGGAGGTGGCTCAGATGGGTCAGTCCTGGGGACAGGAGGTGGCTCAGGGATGGTCCATGAGTCAATCCTGGGGACAGGAGGGTCCCAGGGCTGATCCCAGGGTGGATTCAGGGGCAGGAGCCGGCTTGGCACCAGTGGCAGAGACAATCCTGGGGCTGTGCTGGGTCCCTGGACAATGCAGGGACAATCCTGGGGCTATGCTGGCTCCCTGGACAATGACAGGGACAGTCCTGGGTCCCTGGACAATGCAGGGACAGTCCTGGGGCTGTGCTGGGTCCCTGGACAATGCAGGGACAGTCCTGGGGCTGTGCTGGGTCCCTGGACAATGCAGGGACAGTCCTGGGGCTGTGCTGGGTCCCTGGACAATGCAGGGACAGTCCCGGGT